GAGCTTTACACCAAGTCATTCCTTTCCCCTTTGGGCAGCAGCTGTTCTGCCACTGCTACAGGTGGCCACTTTCTCAAGGGCAAGGGGCCAGGACAACAGGCTGCTGCACGCTCCAGTCAAACTAAGACGCTGTTCTCTGGGGACCCGGTGCAGGGAAAGCTGAGGTACGTTCTGCACCACCAATGGCTCTTCAAAAGGGAACCGTGCTCTGGTTTTAGCAGGAAAAGGTGTCAGTCACAGGCAGCCACTATCGCTGTGCACAGCTATTTGGCGGGTGTCTTGCTTGTTCACGTAGAGGCGTATTTCTTGCCTTGCAGTCTTGATGCCAAAACAATCAGGGGTTCAAGTTACAAAAGCCTTTTGACATCAAAGCAAGATGACAGCTAGATTTCTACCAGCACTGTGTTTGAGCTCTGTTGCTAGCTGGAAATGGCTTCCAGGCAAGGAGATATTTAGAGGGGTCTGAAATAAACTGAGTGTTGAAGTGATTGTTTTAAGGAGGTGAATTAGGCAGCCAAAGGAACTGAGCTGCTCACCCGGCACAGTGGCAGAACGGCCCATCCAGGCTACCACGTATTGCATGTCGCAGGCAGCGGAGTGCGACTGCCACGCTCGCTGGCGGGAGCGGCAAGGAGTGCAGAGCTACGCTCCTCTACAGAGCAAAGGTGGAACCTCCAGGGCTCGGCGGTCACCTGCTGAGGACATCTAATATACCAGCGTGCCTCTTTGCCTTCCCTGCTTCATGTCTAGTTACTTTGCGCGCTGGAGGGCAGGGTGGTAAGTAACATCGTGCAGCGTCTCTCATCTGAGGGACAAGCCCTGCACAGGAAGCCTCGTGTGTACGCAGGGTCAGGAGAGCAGAGCGCCGACAGCACAGAGGTGAGGAAAGGTGCAAACAACGCAACAGAGCCCAAGGATCACCAGCGTATCGCTCGTTTGCAGATCAGCCGCTTGCATCTGGTCTGCTCGGATGCGCTGTTCCGGGCTGACGAGAGCTGCCCCTCTCGCACAAAGCAGCTTCAGTCTCTGCTCTCCTGCTCCAGGGTCTCACCTGTGTTGCCTTTTTTTTTTTAAATCTCTCCCCAGCATCTGTGGACTCGCTGCCCTCGCTCCCACGACCCTGATGCCGCAGGCGGACCCGTACAGCGATCCCTGGGGCTCACTCCGGGGGATAAACCCCCCCCGGTTCGGCGGGTTCCCCGCGCCGCGTCTCCTCCCGAGGTGACGGGGCGGGGGGCACGGGCAGAAGCAGCCGCCGGACCCTTAGAGCAGCCACACGCAAAGGACTGACGCGCCCGAGCCGCTCGGGCGCCTCTCGGCACGGTGGTGCGGACCGACA